TTGGGATGCTGTAAACAGGAGGATCACCACGAGTCCAATCTACACAGTGAGACCCTGAACACCCTGTACACATTGTCCTAAATATCAAAACAACAACAACAAAACCACCAGACTGGGCCAGAGATATAGCTTGGTGGCATGAGCTCTTGTCCACAAGCCCAAAGTCCTGAGTTCAAACCAAAATTAAAGGGCAGGGATAGGGGCTGGGGAGATGGCTCAGTGGAATAAGTGCTTCCCTGGCAAGTGCAAGGGCCTGGGGATATAGCTCAGCAGTATAAGCATCTGCCTGGCAAGCATAAGGTCCCAAGTTTGATCCCTCGTACTGCAAAAATCAATCAATCAATCAATCAATCAATCAGATGAATAAAATTAAAACACTGGACTAGCACAGAGGACACATCAAGAATGAATAAGGCTGAGATCTGACTCTGAACACCATGCTAATTAATCTAGATTTCACTGTGTTAGGAGGAGCTGAGACAAGTTTTGAGGCTGATAATGATATAGCTCAAACTAAACTTTGGGAAGATTATTCTGCTAGCAGGAGACAAGGAAGAGTCGCTTGAAGGTGCAGCAAGCAAACCACTGTGTGGGAATGCTGATGGGGGAGAAAGGGGACCAAGGCTCGAGTAAAGCCCTAAGTCAAGTGAGAAACGAGAGGAGAATGCGGCGGGAGGTAGTGAGCATTTGGCTTAAGGAAGATTCACGTGGATTGTGCGAGATTTCATGAGATGCGTAAGAGAGACGCGTCATTGGTTTGGGGCACAAGAAATAAAGTTGAGGCAGAGATCAAGGGTTCTAATTTAGAATAAGAAGGGAGAGGGGCCTGCGAAAAGTCCACCCACTTGGTAACGCCCGCAAAAGGGAAAGATGTGAGAGTGGGATTCTTGAAGCGGGGACGGAGTAGTAGATGGAAAGGCATTTGCCCAAAATGACTTCTACAGGGAGACTGGAGACTGCAGCACAGGGCGGGAACGCAGGGCTGCGAACTTGACAGGCCAGCAGCTTTGGACAGGAGCGCTGAGCCGCGCTCCAGCCCTGGTGGTGGCACGGCAGGGTGCATTATTGGGAGACTTTTATACTGAGAAACTCACAAGGCATAAACAGCTTCCTGGAAACAGAAGGCTTAAAAATAGTTTAATTGAGGTTCTCAACAGTTTTTTGTTTTTTTTTTTTTAACTCTGAAAGTAAAAATAAATTTCAAACGCTCGCATTATGGGCTTATTCAGCCTGCTACAAGCAGCCGTTTTCTATCTGGTCATCCTGGCTGTCACCTGCCAACCTCTCAGCCAAGGACAGGGTTATCAGGTTGGTTTTTGATAATAACAGCTGGGCTGGGGAGATGGCTCAGTCAAATAAGTGCTTGCCTGGCAAGTACAAGGGTCTGAGTTCAATCCCCCACCGGTTCTGTCAAATAATAATAATAATAAATCCAAATAGTAATAGCTGGCTACAAAACAGTCTTTAAAAAACTCATCATCTATATTCCATAGGCTGCTAGTCAAGTTTCTAGCCCTGGACTCAGTTTTTTGTTTCTCCGACAATGAAGTTGAAGAAGACAGGTGATAGACTCAGATTTGTACAAGTACCCAAGAATGTTCAGACTCAGAAAAAGAAAAAAAATCCAACTCTAAAACATTTCCAAATATCATATAAACCTATTGTTAATACCTGAGAAAACTAGGTCAGTAAATAAACTATAAGACAAATGACACACTATAATTCTTCTAATAATAACAGAAGCAAAAAAAAAAAATCCTAAGAAAAATACAAAAAACAAAAAAAGTAGAAATATATTAAATGGGTACATAGAGTTCACTTCAGAATTACAAGGATATTTTCATAATTTTAATATTAGCATAGTTTACCTTATCAGGGTATGAGAGGAAGAAAAAAATCTGATCAAAAGTTCTTTGATAAAATTTAAGATTGCTTTTTGTTAGAACTAAATTACATAAAACTGTATTTAACATCCTTAGTAAACTAGATTAAGAGACTTCCTTTGTGTTTGATAAGCAGTAGTCTGTTTTAGACAATATCAATATTATAAATAATGATGAGTCTATTTAATACAAAATAAACTTAAGATATCTGCTATTATCTATATTGTTTGACATTGTTCTGATGGTGTTAGTTGATACAATAAAATGAAAAGATAATGAGATATAACTCATAGAAAAGAGAAACCTGATTACTTAGAAAAAGAAAAACCTAGGGCCGGCCAGATAGCTCAGCAGACTAAAGTATGTGCTTAGGCAGGCACAGGGTCTGGGGTTCAATCCCTGGCATGCCTCGCTGGTCCTGCCCCCGGGGCGCACTGAGACACTGGAGACTGAGATTGGGTGTGGTGGTGCACAACTGTAATCCCAGCACTTGGGGGGCTGAAAACAGAAAGATCACTAAGAGTCCAATCTTTGTAGTGAGACCCTATAGACTCTTTACTGAGTACATTAAAATAAATAAAGAAAGAAAAACCTAAAGAAATCTAATTTAAACTATTGAAACTAATGGAGAACTGGCTAATGCATTGGATCGTTCGATAACTATTTGTGGAATGTCAACCATGTTAGGAATGTTCTGGAAACTGTAGATGAGATGTTCTCTGCTCAAGAACATTCCATTCTAGTGGAGGGAGGTAAAAAATAAGAAATTTTCAACATAAATTTAAAGCCTGACTCGTGAAGGAGCAGGAAAATGGGCATACAAGTGTCCTCAGCATGTCTGGAGGTAGAAATACATACGAGTAAGGAACCAATGTGCTTTTTATAAAATCTTTTGAATCTATGTCAACATCTTACAAGACTTACAGATTGCATGGCTTAGAGGCTAAAGGCATTTAGTATTTGTTTATTTTTCCATGGGATAAGCCTTGCACCAGGTGCTAAAAACAGAAAGGTATGAAAACAGATCTCTGTCCTGATGGAGTTTGCATTCCTGAGGGAAGAAACAGGCAATGCACACATAAGTAAGTAAAAGATTTACCAAGTGTGACAAGCGGTGTGGAGAAAGCTGACAAGGTGATTGCTCGAGGAACCCAAGGAGAAGACGAGCATGCAGAACTCTACAGGGCGGCCCGCGCCACGATGCTGACGCATGCTTGGGTCACCATGCTTTGGGTTGCTGTTTCTAGACCAGGCCATACATACAGGGAAGAGACATAAAACGAGGTTGAAGAAGTAGGTACAGACTGATAAGGAGGCTAGGCCGAGGCCAGGGACCTGAGATCCTATCGTAAGGCTTGGGCTTGAAGCCAGAGGCGAGCTCTGTCTCTCCACTTGGGTGGTTATTTCACCTCTTCATCTGTGAAGTCAGGGTAATGATAGTGCTCACCTCATAAGGTTGTGGACTTAAATCGGACAGTGTAGCTGAAGTGGGTTGTGTATAGTAAGCCAGACAAAAAGAGAGACCAAGAATGATTTCCCCTAGTCAGGGGGCCACTGGATTCTGCCCAACTGTCCTCTTACACGGCCAGCTTCTGGGGTGAGAAGGACTTCCTGGTCATCACCTCTTTCCCAGTCATTTGTGACATGAGTGCTAAATTAGCTTCACATTGAAAAGATGGTATGATGACACCAAATATTATAATCCTACTATCTTAATGGCAGGACTATTTCTATATTTGAATATCATTCTACATTCTGTGTGTGTGTGTGTGTGTGTGTGTGTATGTGTGTGTGTGTGTGAAGAGAGAGAGAGAGAGAGAGAGAGAGAGAGAGAGGAAGGAATAAAGTTGAAAGTTACATTTTCCTTTCTTCATGCATAGGTGCCCATCAGTTCTTTGCAACCTCGAATTAACTGGGCCATTGCAATTAATACACCACTTATGTCTAATCAAATGGTGGCTCACATCAAGCCAGTTTTCTTGTTCTTTTTAAAAATATGTAGTTATTATTGTATGCATTTGGATTTTTTTCTCATTTTGATTCCAAACCCTAGATTTTTAAAAAATTTTTCTTCCATAATTTTATTGAGAAATAAAATAGCAATGCAACAGTTTCAAATAAAATTGGTAAAAACCTTAGATTTTTAAACTAGATAAAAATGTTCTGTCTAATGTGACTAGGACATTGTGCTATACAGAGCTACAGCTGTCCTCACAACTGCCCACATAGATCCAAACACACATGCATACTACAGCTGTAACCATGGCTACACACGAATTCGTGCACTTTGATAAATGCTTTAATACTGAGCTGGATTTTAAAAGTCTTAAAGTTTTAAAAGAATTTTAAAAACAGAAATAATATTGTTTTAACCATCCAGCAGAAAAGTATAGAAACAAATTATAAAAAGTAAAGCCATATTAATGTGCTGAGCTGTAAAAGCTTCAAGTCAACAACTTCTGACATTCACAGTCTTACAGAAAACCCACTACTATTATGGACTACTGGAGTATATTGGAATATTTTGCTGAATTCACGCACCTACAATACTTAAATGACAATGGGATACCCTTCTCTAACAAAACTAAACAAAAAAGGGGATACAAACGAATGACCATTTTGTATCTGTATGTTCAAAATAGTTAGGATAGATATACAGCTGCATTCTCTTAATTCAATGAATAGACGAGATTGGGCGCAGTCAGGATGGTATGGCCGTAGACATCCTCTACTCGATGGCACACAATAGTTTCCTATGGCCATATTTGTTAGACATAGTTGAAAGTGACAATGTGTGTCACAAAGACAGTACTACCCAACACCATCAGACAAGATAGCGGTACTTGATCTTCTAAATAAGAATAGTTCAAAGAATGTGTAAAGTTTTACAGAGAATGGAGAAAAACCCTAAGTCCCGTTGAGCCTGTGGGTCCACGAGAATCATCCACAATAGAGGGGCTTCCTAGGGTAATACGTTATTCCTTCTGACGATATAAAACATGCCATAAACGCGTGCTGTTCCTAAATTATAATGTCTGAGCATTAATTGAACACAAGTAACTACTCTTTTGGGCTAGAATAACTTCTAGGTCTTGGTGAATCCTATTAAGCTAATTACTGTGTTGGAAATATGCTAGTGCTTTAATTAACTTTATGTTCAAATACCAATAGTCACATAATGGTATGTAGGATACTAGATTTTCTTCTGGTCTAGTTGCTGACTAGCTAGACAAACTTTTTTGATGAATAGCATATTTCAACTAATAATCATGGGGGGTGCACTTAACACACTAAGGATACAAACTAGGGATAGTATGCTTGAGGCTGACTAAGAAATAGTCACACAAATTCATAACCACACTACATGCAATGCAAGCTTACAATTTGTGTAATAGCAGATGCCCATATACTTCTGTTTTGTAAATTAAAATCTTAAGTACTGGAACTCAATATGTTCCCTTAAAGCTATGCTCTTATTGTGGTGGATTAACTGATGAGCAACTTGTAACACCCAGCTGAACTGAATCAGTGTCGTTCTGGGTGTGGCTGACCTGAGGATGGTTGCCAACAGCATAAAAAGAGAACTTCAGGGGAAGATGGTGTGTTGTTGATTTTCCTGGGGAAGCTTGTCACACTGGATTTCCTGATGTGAATTCAGCTGTTCTCATCATTGGAGGATTTCAGGTCTTCACTGTCTGAGGATGGGAGCGGTTCTTTTTGGGGCCGCGTTCTGGTTCTTACCTTGAGCATTGTTTCCTGGCTCTAGTGCAGATCCCTCAGCCTGCTAGCACAGATCCTTCATCCCTCTGGTTCAGACTTTCTAGCTTCCACTACTGAACTTTGGGCCTTCCTAGTGCATATTCTTGATACAGACTTGCATGAGACATTGTCATGGGGTCTAGGCCTCACTGGTGGAGGACTCTGCCATGGACTCTAAGTCTTCAGCTATACTTGTGCAGGACATTGTCCTGGGACCCAGGCCTTCAGCTGGATTCTTTGGATCTCTAGTGTGTGGACAGATCTTCTGCACTCTTTTGTATTCCACTTCTTTGGGTGAATATTATAAAACAATCTTGTAAATTATGTGTCCTGTATTAAATCTTTTCTCTTGTAAATCCTGGCTACAACACTTATCTCAAATCTTTAGATACGATAAATAGAAAAAGCTATGGAAGTCAGGTCCCCGAAGCAGCTGCAGTGCCTCTCGTCCTCTTCATCTCTTTTTGCAGTCTCTCTTTCACTTCCAGAAGCACGGCCTCTGGTGTGGCTGTGTCTGATGGTGTCATCAAGGTATTCAGTGACATGAAGGTGCACAAGTCCTCAACACCAGAGGAAGTGAAGAAGCGCAAGAAGGCAGTGCTTTTTTGCCTGAGTGAGGACAAGAAGAACATCATGCTGGAGGAGGGCAAGGAGATTCTGGTGGGGGATGTGGGCCAGACTGTGGGCGACCCCTATGCCACTTTTGTCAAGATGCTGCCAGACAAGGACTGTCGCTATGCCCTCCATGATGCAACCTACGACGAGATCCAGGAGAGCAAGAAGGAGGATCTGGTGTTTATCTTTTGGGCCCCGGAGTGTGCACCCCTAAAGAGCAAAATGATCTATGCCAGTTCAAAGGATGTCATCAAAAAGAAGCTGACAGGGGCTGTGGAGATGGCTCAGTAGACTAAGCCAAGTGGGAGGTCCTGAGATCAGTCCTTGGTAACGCAAAAAAGAAAGAAAGAAAGAAAGAAAGAAAGAAAGAAAGAAAGAAAGAAAGAAAGAAAGAAAGAAACTGACAGGGATCAAGCACGAATTACAGGCAAATTGCTACGAGGAGGTCAAGGGCCGCTGCGCACTGGCAGAGAAGCTGGGTGACAGTGCCTTCATCTTTCTGGAGGGCAAGCCTTTGTGAGCCTGTCCAGTCCCTGCCTGGAGCATCTGGCAGCCCTGGGCCTGCCCTCAAAGGGTTGTAGGCTGCCCCCTTTCTGCCAGACCAAAAGGGCTGGGGGGGATTCCATTTAGGGGGAGGGCATCCAAACAGCACCCCCTGGACCTTCTTCCTGCCTTCGTCCCTGTGGGTTCCGGCCTGCCCACATTACATTTGATCTTCTGATTCCTATTGGGTTGAAGCAGACCAAGTTCCCCTCAGGTAGCCAGCTTTGGGGAGGGGGCCTGTATATATATATTTTTTTTTAATGACATCCACATTCCCCACCTATTTCTCCCCGCTCCCATGCTGCCAACTTCTAACCAAAATAGTAACTCTGTGCTTGTCTATTTAGTTCTGTGTTTAAATGGAATGTGGAAATGACCCCGCCCTGTGCTGGCTGGTTAACCCCTCCCCCGTTTTCCCTGGTCGAGACCACTCATGGAAGCAGGATCAGTAAGGGACCTTTGATTAAAAGAAAAAAAAAAAAAAAAAAAAAAAAGACAGTTAAAAAAAAAAAAGCTATGGAAAGTTTGATCTTTCTACCTTTGGTATAAATATTTGAGTGTGAAATCATAGATTCTTTACATTTCTTTCCTGTTTGTTTCTAAGACTAGTTCAACTGCAATGACACAGTAACCATTTAATGTGCTTCCCTTCATAATTTACCAAATTGCTCTTTTAAAAAAAAATTTATTTATGTGTGTGTGTGTGTGGCCAGCTCAGTCCACGGGGGGGGGGGCACTGGCTGGCATGTGGTGCTGGGGGATTGAACCGCGGTCCCTGTGCTTTGCTAAGCTTGTTCTAAATAGGTGCTTTAGACCACTGAGCCATCTCACCAGCCCCCCAGATTGCTCTTAATGAAACACTACTTCTTGGGTCCTGAATCCATTTCCAATGTTTTCATTCATTCATTCATTCATTCATTCATTCATTCATTCATCCATCCACCCATCTATCCATCCATCCATTCATTCATTCTGGGTTATTTCCATTAATTCATTTAGAGTTATTTTTGCTCACTTTTCATTCAACAGATGCCTCCTGGGTACCTTCCATGTGCCAGATACTTTTAGGGATGATCTTTCTTCTCTATTCTAATCATTGCTTTGATATTTAAGCATATTTTTGCCTTTATAATATGCCTCTTTTTTTTTAAAGAGTATCTTTTATGTAGATTTATGTTATAAAATTTTGTAAAACTACATTATCTGGGCCACAGAGATGTTTTTCTATATAACTCATTGTCCTAACGCTGTCATTAACATAAAGAGGGTCTTATGGAATCAGTAGGATGAGAATAAAAAATAAGAACTCAAATAAGACATTGCAAACACTGTGCACAGCATATATAAATAGCGATATTGGTTTAAAAATCATGTTTCCAGATGTGTAGGGTTTCCTCTGGAGATGCCCAAAATGTTTGGAGCTTGGTAGAGTTGTTCATTAGAAGTATGCTAAATGCCATTGTTTTTTTCACATTAAAATAATTAATTCAATGTAATAAAATTTATATCCCAATAAAACACTTTGAATTGTATTTCACTGTTTTTATCTCTGTTGATAAAATTGTAAACTTTTCCATCTTCATCCAAGTAATCTATGGAATAGTACAAATATAATCTGAGTACATCAAGCATAATGCCATTATTAACTCAGACTTCCCAAAACACAAGGCCTAGGCTTGGTTCAGCAGGACAGTTAGGCCAGAGAGCAGCAGACACTAGCAAGGCACACCACTGTGTGCTCTTCTAACCTCTAGCCTATTGGCTCCACATGACTCTGACTGCTGTACCGAGCAGGATTCCCCACCTGTGGGTGGAGAGCACTTGGTCACAAGCACCTAATGATTAAAAGAAGCAAGACTTCCTCGTGGGCTGACCTGGAGGAAAGACAGGTCATTATTGGGATTAGCAAGAGCAGATTTCAGAGATCTGAGGGGAAAGAAACAGCTGGGTTTCTGGAATGAGCCTGGAGGAAGCATAGCAGGCTATTCTCCATAAGTCAATGTACATTAGAGATGAGTCTAGTGGTCCAGATCAGAAGGCACATGCTGATGGTAGTGAATCTGTTTTAGATTTCTGGAGATATGCAGTTATTTTTGCTAAATGTGCTGAATATTTCTGCTGCTGAAAGAATATCTGTTTTCCTTTTTCATTGTCCTATCTGACATCTTATTATTTTTCTGTATTTATCTTCTGTATATTATTATTGCAAAGTAGAACTCAGCTTTTCCTTGTGAGGAATCTGAACCATTACCTTCTCTATAAATGAGTGTCCTGATTTATAGATGACACATAGGACCCCAATGGGAATGTTGAGAAGAAGACTTTTAAAGAAGGTGACACTGAACAAAATAGCTAGAAAAAATGATCTGCAATGGATTTGGAAGCCAAGGAAAGCGCCAATACCTGAGGGAGCTTGAGGACCCAGAGCCACAGGACAGAGGGCATTACAGGAAGCAGCCACCACCTAAGATCTAAGAGAAGATCATGAGTACAAAGTGAATTTTAGGTTAAAGGAGAAAAGAATGTTCAAAGAAAGATCTGCAAATTAAGAGAAAGTTATGTTAGAATTAACAATGATTCCAGGGCAATAAAATGAACATTAGAGATATAGGGTGAGTTGGATGGAGCAGAGTTGGATGGGACCAACTTGAGAGGGACAGAGAAAAAGATGAGCTCAGTAGAAGTTTCCCAAGAATGAGATGAAAGGAGTTGACATAGGGCTCATGCAGTAGTAAGTCGTTTCTGGGAGAAGAGTCTCAAACCAATCATCCCCCAAATTCCAGACAGAAATGGACTGTGATGGTGGGACAACTGCAGTGTGTGCTTTCAGGTAAAGATGTTTGGCTGCTCATGAGTTTTAGCCCCCATTTCCAGAATGAATTGGTGCAAAAGCAGCAGCGCTTCTGCTTGAGTTCTTCTCATCCTGCCAAGCCTCGGAGTCTGAGCAGCACTGGCCTGAGGTTTACAACTGAAAGTCGTAGAAAACAAGTAGAGTACAGGAAAGGATGCTGTTCTTATGCAAGTTAAACTGTCTGGTGTGACAGTAGTTTTGTTTTTATTCTGACTCTCCATGTTTTGTGCTCCCCGGTCTCCTCCACTGTCTTTGTCTATATAACCCATGCCAAGGCTTGACTCAACACTACTTTCTTTATAAGATCCTTTTCCAACCTACCTGTGCTACTTTTCCAAAAGCTTTTTTATTCTAATTTCTTAACCAGTTCCACACAAATAAATACCAATTATTCACATTTTTCAAATATTTTAAATTCAGGCTTTCTCTTGGGGTTGTAAGCCCCTGACTTTTAAGACTTCTAGAAACAACATTTCATAACAAAATTTAAGCTGAGATTCACATGGTGTGTGGCATCTTTTCTTACCCTTATGATTCATCCCTGCCTGATGACAGCCTCCTTCGGGCTTTCTTTATGCAGGTAGACATTTATCTTGGCACCAAAAGTCTTTACAGTACTTTTTATGCATACACCTCTCTCCCTTAGCTAGAAAGAAACTTTGTGAAACTGGTATCCTATCTTTATTATTTTTGTTAGACTCATACACTCTGCTCCAGATTCAATCTCTTTATACCACTTAAAGATTTTTAAAGTTTAGGAACCATTGAGAATATTTCAGTTTTCCTTCAAAGACTCACAGAGATCTTAAATGGTGGGTTTTTCCTTTCGGCTAGCTGAGGGTCATTGAGGTGAGCCTGAAGAGAGGTAAGAGATGTTAAAGGGTCTGAAAATAGAAAAATAGAAATCCTCTGGAGCATGAATCTGAGAATGAACAGAAGTACATCAGCTGGGCTAGACTGCTATAACACAAATATGAAGCATGATATGTGAAAATACCACTAGCCAATATAAGATGCTAAAAAGGGAAGAAGAAATTAGTTTTTCTTTGTTCCTTTAATCACCCACATGTCACTCAGGTACCTTGAGGAGCTAATGAAAGAAAGAATCCTAGTATTCTACGCTAGGAATACATAGTATCAACAATGAGATCTTATTTATTTTAAAAATTCGTTTAGACTTATTTTTATTACATATCTTTTGGTTTTTTAGGAGAAAAAAGAGTCTATCATCACTTTTCCTCACTTAACGCACAAACTACCCTCTAAGTAAACAATCTTTCTTGGATTATATGACTATGAGAGCATAAGCCGCTGGAAACTGTCATTGCTGGTACTTACATCTGGGCAGCCCGGGATGATGTGACTGGCATGGTGGCTCCAGGATGTGCTAACGACAGTTCTTGAGTTTTGACTCATATATATAGGCTCTTCTGATTTACATACATAATTACTGAAATACCAGCAATTACCCACTTTCCTCACACAATGACTTATATGTGTGAAGAATTCCTGTCCTTTGCTAATCCGTCCTACCTCCACCCAGAGTTGCATCAAAGGAGGGCACAGGTACCTGCCAAATGTTTTCTTTTCTTTTTCTTTTAGTTTTTTGGTGTTTGGAATTGAACACAGGACCTTGTGCCTGTGAAGCAGTCACTGTGCCACTGAGCTATATCTGTGGCCCCAAATGCCTTTTGAATCAAATCTAGGAGGGCTGACTGGATATAGCTCAGTGGACTAAAGCTCCTGCTTAGGCAGGCGCAGGGACTGGGGTTTGATCCCCGGTGTGCCATGCTGGCCCTGACCCTGGGGTGCACTGAGATGGCAATTGAAACTGGGCATGGTGGTGCACACTTGTAACCCCAGTGCTTGCGAGGCTAAAAACGGGAGAATCCTTATGAGTCTGATCTGTGTTGTGAGACCCTGTAAACCCCGTACTAAATATGTTTTTTTTTTTTAAAAATCAAATCTAAGAACATATCTGTAGCCTTGGGACTCTACTCTGATTTATTATTTAAAGTTTTTCTTCATAAGCCAGTTTTTTTAAAAAATCTTGTTTCATTGAAGAAAATTGCATTTCTGTGAAATCACACATTCCTAAATAATCTCAGTACTATTTTCCTTTATTT